CCCATACATTCCCTTGTAAAGTAAGACCATATTCAAACGCTTATATTTTTGCTAAAAAATCGCAGTTTGACTTCAAACTTTGCATAATTGTTGGGAATTATATGCTGTTTTTGGCCATGAACATGAAAAATTCATTTAGATCTTAAAACACAGCCTTTTGTAGTTATTTCTTGACCTGTCTAAAACGCATTGAGCCGTGATAATCCCATACATTCTTACCAATTTTCGTTTGCTCGTATTTCTGTTAAAAAGCATTATTTTGGCTCAAAATTTCGCATTAATACTTTCATTTAGATGTTCTATCGAGGACAATAATAATATTTTGCTAATTTGGTCTCTAAATAGCATTTTTAGAATAACACGTGATTATGAGCTTGGGATACCTGTGGACAATTTGTGACTGATAAGCGACGACATTGAAAAATAAGAAGCCCGAAATTTAAACTCTGGGTTCCACAGGAACCCCGAGTAATGAACAAACTTTGTGTTTATTATAAACAATGGAATTGTACTATTTGTGAGTTTTCACAGGCGGCTTTTGTTTTGGTGATAAACTAGTTTTTGTAACGTTGAAGTTCTGAACAAATTTGTACATAAAAATTCACTTAGATGGCAATTGATCACGCTGTTATTAATCACAATTAATCGCTGTTTCTTTAGAAACATGGACAAAGCTCACACTAGTTTACCGCTAGTTTCGACCATCCTCAATTATTTCAATAATTCAGGGCTATCCCATGTCTTATTTCTACAACAAAATATAGTAGGTTGTTCTAATAGCGAGATTGATCATTTTATAATATAGCGACGTTGTGTTTTGTCCATCTCAATGTCATTTAATGTTTTTTTAGGTGGAGCATTCATTTGAAAAAATGACCAGAGAGGTTACCGTAATAATTTTTTTTCGCATATAATTGCTGCTCAGCTCGTTAATCAAGATCTTGTATTTTTCTTTTTTTCATGTTGCGTTTTTGCAAAGGTTAGACTCAAAACCAACTGTAAATTCTAGGACATACAAACATTTGGAGTGTATAAGCAAAAAGAAGATCAGGTGGGAACGTGTCGCCATAAATATATATCATGACATATACAGCCTTTTGCACAAATTATGAGACAATTTTATATATATAAGAAGATCAGGTGGGAACGTGTTTTTTTAAATATATATCATGACATATACAGCCTTTTGCACAAATTATGAGACAATTTTTTTTATATAAATATACAGCCTTTTGCAAAAATTATGAGAATTGTTGAAATATTTTTTTATCATAATATCAAGTGCATGATGGGTAATCCCGCGYGATGCCCTTAKTTTTTTTTCTTTGTAGTTTAGTTGTTTTTTTTTGGCGACAGACTTTTCCGTAGTTCTTTTTTTTTTCTCGATGTCAACAATGAATTATTCTAGCAAACCCGCGTGTTCCGGTTTT